TGTACTGTTTTAGTCGGCATATAGTTCAGTAATTTAATATATATTCCAGCCTGCAGATTCATCATAACTACAAGTTAGAATGAATTAATTAATCGGGATTGTTGTAATTTATATTTTATTAGCAAGCTAGGAACAATTATACGGCTCTTATCTTGACTAACAAAAATAAAAAGAAGAGTATGTATATCTAGATTGATCCTAGCTTGCTAGATCAAGATATTCTTTTAAAAAAAATATCTGCAAGTCGCAACAAACATTTTTTGTTTTGGGTGCACGGGACTAACTAGAAGGAACATTTTCAGTTACAGATTGTTAGACAATGGACCACAGAGAGGTGACCATACTGCCTTTATCTCTCGTATGGAACTTCCAACAACTTATGAATGCTTTAAAGCCATTGGTTGGTGACCCTCGCAATAGGTTAGGTGAAGCTTTTATGGAAAAGATTAACCATAAGGATCCTCTAAAAAATTTAACCTCCACCATTGTATTATGCTGATTCATTCTTGCTATGCAACAAACAAAGCTACCTAAACCAATGCAGAAGCACCTTGTGAACGATACTAGGGTTTTCTTTTTCCCAATTGAGTTAGAGACAACCTCGCTGCAGGAAATGGGAATTTTAGACCACCTGCGAGTACTGTTTTTTTTCTTTCTTCCTAGTGCTCAGAATCGCTTCCAATGAGACTCACTTTTGTTCCTCCCGAAACATTTTGAAATTAGAAACGGTAAAAGCGTTTTCGAGTTGCATAGAAAGGAATCGACCTTGCATGGCCTTGAAAAAGAAGTGGCCGATCCCGATATTAGTAATATCAACATATCTCACAACCTTATTTTCCTTCATTTTGTATCTCACTATTAAATCCGACAAAATGCTAAGCTTCAGCGCCATCAACTTTACAAGGACTTTTAGTTGGTGCATTCACGAGCACTATGACTCCATCCAATAAACAAGTCCACCTCTTTTTTTTTTTTTTTTTTTTTTTTTTCTAACCCCTTTTTCAAAAGACAATGTAAAAGTCATATGAGCATGCCACTTTATTTGCAAGATAAATATCCTAATCCTACTGTAACCCACTAATCTAACATGCATATTCTAACTTGTTCCTCATTCTATGGCTTTGTTTGTTTGTTTTTTATTTTATGTGGATCGAAGATAAATAACTTTAAACTGATTGAACATGATGTCCTGCTTTTGCTTGTTTGGATCTATACTGTTCTTAAAAAATGCCTTTTCCCTCATCATGGTTATCCTTGCTATAATTATTTCCCTTAATTTAGTAAAACGTGATGGACCTGATGCGTTGTAGTCAAATGATGTGGATTGTGGGATTTGTAATTGTCTGATTTAATTATATTTCCCTAGTTTTTACTTTGGAGAAAGATTAAACTGAAAAAGTTAGATTTCATTGTGCTCCGTGATGTGCAAGAGTGGAAGATCGGTGAAAAGAGTTAAACGACAGAGATGCAATAAATTAATAGACAATCCTCTTGATCTTGCTGTCTTACCAGTGCCACTTTTGTCTTGTGGCTAACAACTATCACATTTTAAAATTATTAAAAAGTTGTAGCCCTTGATGTGCTTTTAGCTTATCACGTTGCATTGATCGATCTTGCTATCTAGAATAAGTACGTTGAATATTAATTGGATTATAATTCTGAGCGACCGCCCCCAAATAATGCTACAATCAATCCATTCTTCTGGGCAATATTTCTTTTTCAGGGATATGAATACCGGATGCAAGTATGTCTATATGTTTCCAGCATTTATTGATCAGTGTATATATATACTTTTCTGCTTTTGTATGCAGTCACAGTTAATCAACCTTCCTTAATTTCACACTCATTAAATTTGTAGTCCTTTTATTTTTCTTTTGGTAATATTTTCAATCCCTTGACAAACGAAAAGAACATAAGAAATTAATTGCTTGGTATGGCAGGTTAAATGCACATATATACAGCCTGAGGCATACATAACATAATACACAAGTTGAAACTTATACTTGAATATAATGATGATGATTGTTCTGTCCATGTGTACGGTTTCTAATTTCCCATCATGGGTCAACATAGTTTCCTTTTATTGTTATTTTGGCACTTCCACATCAGAAAGGGGGAAAGTGTTATTATTTTCATTGGGCGTCCTCTATTTGTATGGGTGGCTCATCACCGAGTTACTTACGTCAATAGCATACCCTACCATTGATGGTGGGCATATATGTATTGTTATTGTTGTCATTTCATTACTCATTTATTTATTCATGTCACTGTAAATAACACTCATTTTTTCAATCATCTTTCACGGGGCGTGTAATGTGAATATAGAGCCAATTCTAACGGATCCTGCCGACATTATGCTTAATATGACAATCCTACATACTTGATTGCAATCGGTTTTATGCCCTTATAATGAATATGAGGCTCACAATTTATCACCATCATCAACAACACAAAAATATCTAATACACGCGCTGCCCTTATTTCTTGGCTGTATATATTGTGCTAGCTACTACTAATAATTAATTATCAATGGATGGATTAATTATGGCTTGATTCATGGATGTCAATTCTTTAAGCTTTCTTGCTCCAATTAATAGAATGGACATTGTTTTAGATCACAGTTTACCCTTGCTTGGTGCTGCCCGCTTTTGCACTTTAAATTCAACCGTGTAATTAAACTTCTTCTCCTGATGTGGATTGGAGTAAAAAATACGTACAAAGCTGTTTTTGCTTGATATATAAAGAGAAGGTTGTATAGGTACAAAAATTGTGTTTACGAAATAATGCAAGTGAGAAAGAGGAAGAGAAAATAGTTGGAATAAGATGGCTGATGTGATGGAAAATCATAAAAAAATAGTTAATATTATAAAACTGTTCTACAGTTTTGTTGCATGAATAAGTGATCTCATCTGTAACCTACATTTTCCCTAAAATTCTACTTCAAAATTTGTACGGATCCTCAAGAGGTGCTTTGCCTTTTCACATGCTGAAACCATGCCTTAATATTGGATCATCTTAAAAACTAAGATGGAACCGTTTGAAATGCTTGCGCTTTGTTACCCGACTTTTTCTTTTAATTCTATACGTTATTGAGCCTAGTTAAAGATCATGAAAGCATCTTTGAAGATACAAGAAAGGCAATTATTTTATCTTTTTATATTTTTTCTCTTTTTTTTCACACTTTTCTCTCTTAATTGTAGAAATAGTTATAAAAAAAATCATCAGAAAAGATATTAATAATTCTAAAAAAAAAAGTTTCAGATTATTTACTTATGAATTGAAAGTCATAATTAGTTATATGATTTTTTTTTCGAAACTCCTAGCAGTATAAGCGAAGTTCTTCTTGAGACTCCGAGTCACAATATACCAATTTGGATTAAAAGTGAAAAAAATGAAATAAAAGGGAAAAAAAGAGAGAAAGAAATAAGACCGAAAGTAAAAGAGAAATAGAGTAAAACTAATGTAACAGAAATTCCAAAAAAAAAAGTGAAAAAAATTCTCTTCAGTTTTTTGGATGAGTGAAATGGTAAGTAAATATAAATAAATTAATTGTGTGAAAATATTATAATACTAATAAAAAATTTAATTTAATCTAAAAATCATTTTTATGCGATTTTTTAACATTTTTTTTTAATCTTTGGAGTATTTTACGTTTTAAAAAATTTATGTAATTTCTTAATATAGTTAAGAAGCAAAAAAAATGAAAAAGAAAAGAGACATCTCTCGCTCCCATTTCATGCAATTTGAGGGATGGGGGGGAGGGAGTTTTTTTTTCTTGGGAGTCCATAGAAAATTTTCTCTCTAAAATTTTAGCATTTCTATCTTATTTCTCTTCTTTTTTTATTTCCTTTTCTCCTTATTTTTGCTAAAACAAACAATGGCTTAGTATACACATTAGCTTTTAGTAAGTGGAACGGACTTTTAAACACACAAAAAATGAGATTTTTTTTGAAAAACTTATTCTTATTAGTTTCCAAAATTTGGATCATCACATATTATTAATATTATTAATATTAAAGAGGTTGCCAACCTAATAGTAATATTAAATTATATAAAAGGTTCAGGCTAAAACAATTAATAAATATAAAGATTTTGTTTCTATCTCCTCCCAACATATATGGTCATGTGACAAAGAGAGGACCCAAAATCCGAAATCTTACCCTGTGATGTGCTTTCTTTGTTTGTGTGTGTGGGGAATAAGATAACATGTATATGCAATATATTGATAATATTGACCCAAGACCATGAATATATATATATATATATATATATATATATA